TGTGCTCCCAGCTCAACAAAGAAATCTACAGAGTGCTATATTATCGAGAGACCCAGGATTAGGTATGGCAACGGAACGGAACGGGGCGGGGCGGGCGGGAGCTCAACAAAGAAATCTACAGAGTGCTATATTATCGAGAGACCCAGGATTAGGTATGGCAACGGAACGGAACAGGACGGGACGGGACGGGGCGGGGAGGGGAGGGGAGCCCTCCCCGCCTCCCGCCCCGCTAAGAAATTCCCCGCCCCGTCCCCGTTTAAGTCGGGGCGGGGGTATGTACATTCCCCGTTTATTCCCCCGTTTAATTTTTATTTTTTTTTAAGTTTTTGNTAAATGCAAGAGTGCAGATTGATTCAATTGAAGTTTTACAAATATGAAATACCAGAAACTTAAATTCCAGCCCAACCCCTCTCCCAACCTAGAGTAACATGAAACTAATGAAAATTGTAAAAGTGGATTACATGTGAAGTTACTTCTATAATTTCTGTGTTTTAATGAGTAATGCACCTTTAAAAATATCTGTGTTGCTCGGTCTAGAAAAAAGATAGCTAGCTGACGTCCTCTTTTAGATTCCAGGAATTCCACATACCAAATCCAGAATTCAGGATAATTAGCACACAAAATCAAGAATCTCTCATACAATTTCACAGCCTGTACATGGATGGTGTCTAAACTATAACATGTAATGACAGACAAAAGTCCAAAGTAATTTTTTTTTTTTTTTTATAACCGTGGATGTCCGGACCAGCTTGTGCGCACCTCGTCTAATTCCACGAGGCCCTGAAGTTTACGGCCGAATACTCACCTTAGTGGCCCTGAGGGAACTCAAACTGGTGACCATTTGGGAACAAACTCAAGATCTGACCAATTGAGCAACCCCTCAGGTTCCAAAAAATAATTCTCTCTTCATTCTGGAAATACTAATGATAGATAAAATCATATTTGTGTATGTTCTTTCAACGAAATTTTTTATGGAAAGGGTAATTTATAGATTAATCGAAACTTCCTTCTTTATAATATTTGCCATTTTTCTAATCTTTTAGCATTACAATTTGTTTTATAGGCAAAGTTGTAGTTCTCATGCCTATTTGACTTGAGCATATTCTAAAGCCGCTCTCACTTCCTCCCATCTCTTGTTTTTGGTAACTGCTATAGAATGGAATGAGTTTCGTTAACCTGTAAATTAGGTCTTCAACTTCTCTCTGAAAGCTTATTCCCATCGATACTTATTTCAATAATGTCAACTTCTTTCGTCTATGCCTTGGATGAAGCAACTAAATCCTATAGAGAAATCCGTTGCATAACCAAGCTAACTACGCAATACATGTACTTTTCAGAAATTAAAATGGCATTGGACTTGAAGTTCATCATATTTTAGATTAAAATATAATTTTTCACATTATACGAAGAATGAGAGGAAGAGGAGAATATCTTGATCCAAAAGCTAAGATCATATTTTACATGTACCTCTAATATTCAAAACTAAAATTTAATGTTTTCTAAGTTTAAATGCTATTAGTATAAACAAGTTTTCCTCCTACACTTGTCGCATTTTTTTCCATCGAAAATTCGAAATAGAGATTTTAAGAGGCAAACATATTTAAATTCGGCAATTTTAGACCAAACTTTGGACGAAGCATAGGTTTTACGGTATACAGGACAAAGCAAAACAACTCAATATGTTTTAAATGTTGCTCTTATATTTCCATTTGCCTTCATGATCATGCATCACTGCTAACCTCGAGTACTCCCAGCCAATTTTCACGGACCTCTGCCGGTCCGCCCCACTCCCAAACAATGTAAACCTCTCAATTCTTAACATGGTATCAGAGCCCGTTAAGCTCTAACGAGCAATTCGGTCCGATTATGACTCCAAAAGTGAGCATACGGATTTCAAGATTGGTCTGCTCAAACGAGCCACCATCTTGCGAGGGCATGCTAAGAGATAGAATCCCACATCGAATAACGATGTAAACATAAACCAACTTATAAAGAATTTGATTACTCCTATTAACCTTGACCTTTCAAGATAGAACGTCAATTTTTAACAATTAGCTATAAAGTGCCTTATCGTTTGTTTAAATCAAACGGGTGAGTTCATCATCCATGGACAGGAGTAAAACACTCAGTTTCTTTGCTTGTGAGGTGGGAGATGGACGGTAGAAACCATCTCTCACTGCAACGTAATTGAGACAAATTGATTCTCTTGCATCTCTGGAGAAAAATGGATGTGTTGTTGCCATGGCATTCTGCACTTCCTAAAGGAGGGAGAGAAGAGAGACTTAATAGGTCCCATAAAAAGGAAGGTAAACTAATTGTTCAAATAAACCAGTATAAAGTTCTCCCCAATTATATCACCATTCAGCCACGATTCTTCAATGTCACGTTTCATTATCAGATACTAACAAAGTGGAGCCTATAATGACACGCAAACTCACACTTCCTTTCTATGCTAATAAACTTGCTGCATCAATTAATTTACAAATTAGTCGACATAACGAAAAGCACAGTAATTGAACTTCAGAAAAACAAATTCACAACATATACCAAAAGTATGCAAAGTATTTCGTAATTTTAATATCTCGTACCAATGAGCAAATAGCCACTGCGTAACACAACAATTCTTGCACATATATCAGCATGACATGCCGAGAATGTAGCACAAACAACAGCAAATATCAAGAATCACAAAATAACGAAGATAAATTAAACAAGCATATATAATTTATGCATATTAACATTATATCACAGTGAAATTTACCGCAACTGAACCCAAAATTTGTGATGCTTAACTACCAGCGTTTACTTGAACACACAAAAAAAAGCTCAAGCAGCCTCAAAATCACAATTTCCAGAACCATCTAATTGAGTCCAAAAAATACAAAAACAGTAAAGCAGTTCCACCTTCCTCTCTTTAACATAAATTCGCAGGACTAGCAAAAATTAAACAGTAATAGCAACAAAAGGCCAACAATGATTCGATTCAAGTAAAATCAAAAACCCAAGCTATAAGCATTTCATTAAACCATGAGAAAAATAAAGCATAATCAATATCCAAAAGTCTCCTAGGACGAAAATCTAACCAAAAATGAAGTAGCAACAACATAGGTTCACTCAATTCATCTCATCGACATGAACCAATTAAACCCAACAGTAAAATCGAGTGACAATACCAATATAGTCGAAGATTAAATTAATTAATCTACGGTCTGCATGATGTCATCGGAAGTGAACTTTGTGCCCTTATCCTTGTCGGTGGCGGCACGCCCCTTGGCTTTGCGCTCCAGAAGAGACTTGCGGTCCTTATCAAGGCGCAGCTTGCTGATGACTACCTTAGATGGATGGATGCCGACATTGACTGTGGACCCGTTAACCTTCTCACGGGTGATCCGCTCTATATGGATGACCCACTTCTTTCTGTAAACCTGCACCACCTTGCCCTCGCGACCCTTGTATGTACCCCTGACAACCTGGACCTCGTCATCCTTGCGGACCGGCATAGAACGAACATTGTACTTTGTCCTGAGGTCGGAGGACAGGGGAGCGCTCATCAAGACACGGCGGACACTCGATGGTGCCGTGAAGTGGGCCTTCCTGTTCTTGCGCCTGGAGGATGAGACTCGTGTGTTGTACTTCATTTTTGCTGTACGGATTCGTTTCTCCCTCAATCAGCTGCAAAGTGGAGAAGAAAACGAGAATAGGGTTTACAGTATAAATAGGTAGTTGTTGGGTTTTAGAATGGGCCTTTGGCAGTAAGGATACATTGGGCCTGGAAACTCTGAAAAGTCATTGGCCTGGCTTGTTTCCAAATGTTCATAAAATGTCTAAATTATGGGAAAATTTTAAGGTCATAATAGCTTTATAATACAAAGTCGTAAAAAACTTTCAAGAATCATTTGATCAAAGGATATGTGATTGTGAATTTTTTTTTATAAATACTTGTGAGTTGTGACATATAAACTGCGTAATTGTAAGTTACTTTCATTTGACTAACTAATTTTTAAAAAAATTAATATCTAATTAATGAAATTAAAACTTAAAAAATATGATTTCAAATAATTTTCTCTTAAATTATAGGGTAAGGATTTGATGATTAAATACGAGGTTAATTATGATACACTAGTCAAAAATAATTTCTATCAAATACGTGATACAAAACAAAATTACGATATATTTTCAAAGTAAATAACTTTTTTTTCTAAATCATTGAAAGTTATAGTGTAGAATTTTAGAGTGGTTATTCTCTAAGTTTTTTTTTTTTTTTTTTTTTTTACTAATTTTAGTCGATAAATAGAATTTTAGAAGGAAAAAAAATCATTTTTTTATTCTTAATTGCCAATAATAACTCCAAACTCCAAGAGAACCATACCCATCTCTTTTTGCTGTTTATTTGTCGATAATTATTTATTTATTTCTATTAAGGCCCTGTTTGATTGCCTCATTTGTCACGAAAAATGTCACATTTGAAGAAAACGAATTTCACTTTGGACGTTTGATTGTAACGTGGAAATAGAAACTGAATTTCAAGATACAATCACTTTAAACTGTATTTTCTTTGTTTTCATGAAAAACGAATTCATGTGAATTTGACGTATTTTTATTTTCTAATTAACATAGAATTTAAATTGATTTTCACGTTTGCCTATGAAATGAAGTCCAAGTTCTTCTATCCAGTTTGCCTAAATTTTACCCAAATACTGTGCATGTCTAGAGAATCAAGAATTTGCATCGATGGATATCCTTGCGATGCATCTCAGTCACAGCGAAATTCAGATCAGATTTTCCAGTTCCTGCTCCAAAATATTGGAAAGCAAAGAAAATTTCTGGAAAAATAAGAATTAAAACGAATTGAATTCTCACGATGAAAAATTAAGGCGAGCATTTATGATTTGTCGCATGTCAGCAGTAAATGCGCAAACCAAATTAAAACCAGTGGGATTTTCGTCCCACCTTCCCAAAACCCTAGTAGAGACACTGTTAGACTGCCATACTGTTGAATAATGGAATTGGTACCGAAAGGATGGAATGAATTGGGAGTTTCCAATATTATCTATGAAGAAGATGATGATGATGATTCATCCACCATTCCTTCTCTCTCACCGGATTCTACAGCATCTTCTACCCCTGAAAATAGACGGGTGGAAGCTTGGTAATTTTTTCACTATTTTTCTTCTCGATTTCCCTAGTTTATTTTGTTTAATATTAGTATCATTTTGCTCGTTATAATTTTATGATAAATGATTTCTTTATCTAAGGTCGTTGGCTACTTGCCGTGAACCAGATGTAATTATACACATCCAGGATTCATGTTTCCGGCTTCACAAGGTACTTTGATGGTGCTCTTTACATATGAATTGAGAGATTAATGAATTTGAGAATGAGATATAGAGAGAAAAAATTGACTTGAATTCACTATAAAAAATGGAAAAAATAACCTTTCATTGTAGAATGCATTGCCACGATATGTGCAATTTTCATTCTCATAATTGCCATGAATTATAGGATTTTCTATTGCCTCATTGCTAGGATTTTGGGATTGTCAAGTTTGCTTTTTTTAGTTGCCATGAGTTTGTGAGTGGAATTTCATTCTTGAAATTGCCATGATTTATGAGATGAACAAGGTTGCTTTTTTTCTTTTTTTCAATCCATGAGTTGTTTTCTGACTGTTATGATTTCAGCAAGTATTGTTAGAGAATCAGAGGCTTTATGGTTGACGTTCAAACTTTCTTTACCATTCCCGTATACTGATTATCCTAAAGTAAACAACCTTACAATCTTTGAAGTTTTGAGGGATAATAAAGAGATTGCAAAATTGTACAATCTTTTTTTATTTAAATACATTAGTGGGAATATTGGAGCTGGTTGGATGAAAGTCCTAACCTGCATCCCAGTTCATGAATCCTTGTTAAGTAAACCCTCGTCGATGGTATTTTGAAGCACTTTTAATAATATAAGAGGTGGTTGTCAACATATTCTAAGAGATTTGCTGTATTTCTAATGGTTATAATCAAATTAAAAACATGATCAAATAGTTTTTGCAAGTCATAAGAAGATAATTTTCAGTTAATCTAGGTTGGTGTTATATGAATTCCATGATTCTTTTCTTTTGGTTCACTTTTTCTGCTACAATCTTCTAATCTGCTTTAATTTATCTCCCGTTTTGCCATGAAAATGTTTCAAAGTAAGAGGAATATCAATACTTCTACAAGTTTTCGTAAATAAATGACTGCAAGAAAATTGAGGGTATCTCTAATGTGTGCATTCATTATTTCCTCTATTCTTCTGTATCAGGATCGTTTGATAGCAAGGAGTGGCTATTTGGAACGACAGCTGAAAGAATTTTCCAAAGCAACCTTCTCCCTCCCGTTAAATATAACGGCCGAGACATTTTCTTTGGTGACAAACTTCTGCTATGGGGCCCGTATTTCCATAACTCCATTTAATGTTGCCTCGCTTTTAATAGCCGCCAGGTTGCTGGATATGTCAGAAACTAGAGGACCGAGAGACGAGAACTTATGTCAGAAAACAGAAAACTATTTTCGTCTTGCTGTCGCTGTTAACCTGGAGTATGTCTCTATTGTATTGCGATCCTGTTTTTCACTGCTTCCAGAGGTTGAAACAACAGCTTGTCTTGTTAGTAGGTGCATCGAGGCCTTAAGTTTGATGGGAGATGTCGAAGCCGTTACAAGTTGTTTACACGATGTTAGGAAACTGTGTTTTGAGGATTTTCAACTAATTTTGAAGTCAACAAATCAACGGTTGATTGAATGTCATGACCTTCTTTATATAATCACTGACCTCTACCTCAAGGTATGATACTCGTACTCTTGTTTATCTAATTATCTGTGGTGTCTATGAATTGATCTACATTTCATTTTCAAATTTGTTGGAACGATCCGAACCTTAACTTGTGCATCAACACGTTTGATTTGTTGGATTGTAGAGTATCGAATAAGAACAAGGAGTGTTAAGTAGTTGAATTGTTGGTTGTTCATTGTTGTGTTGTGGACCAAAATGAGCCATTATTTACATTATGCAGGAACACATTGTTAAAATGACAGAGGACCAGAAAACAGAACTGTGTACTTATGTAGATTGCAGCATCTTATCCTCCAAAATTCTCATGCGTGCTGTACAGAATCCTAGAATGCCACTGAGGTTTGTTGTACACGCCATGTTTGTCGAGCAACTGAACACTCGGCGCTCCATCATCTCTATTGTTGATCACCAAGATCACAAACATCAAACTGAAGATGCTGTGACACTTGGCTCGATTCTCAAGCGCGATGCAGCGCTGCATCGAGTGGCAGAGCTCAAGGCAGTGATGAATTCCACAAATTCACGTGTTCACTGCTTGGAGAAAGAACTGAGTGGCATGAGGAAACTTTTGAATGAATCGGAATATATTACCAATAGGACTGATTTGGGGAGGTCTGCAAGTTTTCATTTAAGCTCGGAGAATAAGATAGAAAGGGGGCAGATTGGTTCGATTTCTTCCATTAGTCTTCATAATGTGACAAATAGTGTCGGTGTAGGATATTCTTCCTCTCAAGTATCAGTTGATGGGAAAACAAGGATGAATTTTCGTCAAAGATTCGTGAAGGGATTGAAGAGTGCTTTTCGGGTACCAAGATTAGTAAAGAAAAAGTGTTAGAAATGGAAAAAAATTAGTTTTGACTGTGTTATTTTTTGAGCAAGTAGTTTTTTGGGGGTTTCATTTGTTCATAATCATCTGATCTCCATGTGATAGCCAAACAATAATCTTTAGTTTATTTCAATTGGCGACAGGTTTTTGATTAATTTTTCTAGTTACCAGGCGTGCGCCCTTACAATAGTGAACCATGCATGCTATGTGTTACTGTGTACATTAGATTTGTCAGATTGAGTTATAGATTGCCTGATGGCAACATTTCATTGAGTTTGGTCAAAAAAAAAAAATAAATAAAAACATCCAATCAGGGATGCCATCTCAGTCCCTGTACATTGCTTTGGCAATCCCCCATGTACACGGACCTTTTTCCTAACATAGCTAAGCATTATTCTTCTGTTTGGTTTTACTAAAAATTAAACTTTTAAGTAGATTTCAATAAAAAAAAAAATGATAAAATGAATTATCGAAAAATTAAAAAAGTTGTGAGTCCATTAAAATGTTTGGGTAAAATTAATTGTTGATTTTAATTCTAATTTTTATAATTTTTTTTGGTAAGGGCAAGTCTATATCAAATACGAAATCAAATTTTCCCCTTGTTTAGCCCCCAAATTTTTTTTTAAAAAAAAATCTTTCTTAATTTTAAGCACATTCTCCAAATAAAATAATATTATATACAAATAAAAAAAAATTCATTATTTTTCAACAATACATTCTTTCATCAATCACTATTCCAAAATTTATAAATTCAATGGGGGCCACACAATGACTTTATTGAAAAGTAATCCGTTACCATTTGAATGAAATGTCCATAATGAGAGGAAATCGCATTCCACAAATATGTATATTTAACGTTTGTCTGGGGCTCCATTAAAATGTAATTTTGAGAAAAATGTATTTTGAAATAGTGATTTTTTAAATAATGTGTGATTAAAAAATAAAATTTTTTTGAATTTAAATGTAATATTATTTTATTGAAAAATTGATTGAAAAGAAGAAAAAGAAAAATGTATTAAAATTAAGGAAAAAATTCAAAACTAAGAGGTTTAGTTTTACCAATTTCAAATTTAAGACATTATGTTTAAAATTTCAAATCTCAATTTTTTTAAAAATTTATTTATAAATAAATTAATTAAATATATATTTTATGAATTAAATACATTAAGTTCACAATTNTATTTTATTAATTAAATACATTAAGTTCACAATTCCATATAACTTGGTCACACATTTTATATAATTGGTCACATATTATTAATTTGTCACAAATCTCAAATTTTACATGTCAAAAATTATTTTGCAATCACTATTCAAAAATTTTATAGGTCACAATTTGTTCATCGGTCAAATAAAAAATTGAAATGTCACATATTATTTTACAGCCACAATTCAAAAAATTTATATGTCACAATTTGTTCATCGATCGCAAATCAGAAATTTTATAAGTCACAAATTATTTTACGATCACAAATTAGAAATTTTATAGGTCCTTACGGTCACAATTCAGAAATTTTATAAGTCGTAATTTGTTCGTTGGTCACAAATAAAAAAATTTGTACGTCACAATTTATTCATCGATCACAAATTACAAATATTACAAGTCACAACTTAGTAGGCAGTCACAAATTGTCAAAATATCGATCACATATTAACAATTTTTAGGTCATACATTATTTTTTTTGTTACAATTTATCTTTTTCATTGATCACAGATTAACCAATTTAATGATCACAAACGACCAACTAATATGTGACAACCACCTTCCGATAGCAACATCACCTCAAACAAATCAACAAAACAATTTGTGACCACCACCTCCGCCAACATTAGCACAACCACCAATGCCGCCTATACAACCATCACAGTCTCCTCAAATCTATTACCGTCGACGCCACCACCTCCACCAAACAGGACCACTAATGCCGCCTATACTACCACAACTACCACCATCACTGTCTCCCCAAAGCTATTACCGTCAACACCACCACCGTCGCAATCTCAACAACCACCATCTTCACTCTTTAAAAATTATAATCTGGAAACGTGTAATTAAAAATAAATTTTTAAAATTTGAGCCAAATCGGCTTTAAAAAGTTCGAGAATCCGTCACTTTGAGCCAAAAAAATCATATTATTTGAAAGGTCACCCCCTATTTTCCTAAATAAATTTTCTTAGCCAAATCTGCTTTTCAATTACTTCTGGTATATGCAAAATCTCGTACTGGAAAATCAATGGAATGTGAAGAGGGAGGACGAGCATCGCCGCCGACGACGCCATCACCACCGTCTGACGATGGCAATTCGGTGGAGGAGCAAGTGATGAGCGATATTCACCTAGGATGTCCCCCAAATCACTCTGGCCCCCCATATCTCCGACTTCGCTATCTTACTTCCACCACGTAATAGTTTTACCTTCATCAATCATTATTCTACTTTAATTGTCTAGATGTTAACGCTGAGGCGCTTTATGTTCTAGCGAATGTTAATCAGAAGAAAGAATTTGTTGTGATTTGTGTTGGGGATGAATGACCCTTCATTTAGGGTGTGTTTGATTGCAATTGTGACAAATGGGTGGAAAGAAAATGTTTTACAGGAAAAAGATTTACCTATAAAATATTCTGCAGGGAAAATGATTTCAAGTGTGCTTGATTGGTATAATTTTCCACCCGAAAAATTTTTAAATTTTCTATTCGTTTGGGTTTATTTTACATGAAAATTGTTCATTAAAGTGATAATTTTTTCCACGCTTGATTATAAAA